TCTTCAAAAGTAAAATGAGAGCCAAAGCATTCAGCTATCAGAGTCCTCTTCTGTGGAACCAGGTTCCAGTTTGGGTCCGGGAGGCAGACACAGTCTCTACATTTAAGAGTAGGCTTAAGACTTTCCTTTATAATAGAGCTTATAGTCCACCCCAGTTTTGCTGCTATAGGCCTAGACTGCCGGGGGATTTCCCACGATGCACCGAGCTCCTCTCTCCTTTCTCTCTGCAACCTCATTCCATTAATGCATGTTACTAAGTGGATTCTCTTTCTCGTCCCTCTCCTCTCTCCTATCACTTTCTGCAGAATTTCTTGGCTCTGGAGCTGTGGAGTCTGAATCTCTGGTCGGGAGTCTCCTCCTATCACTTCCTGCAGGTGTTCCTAGAGCTGTGGAAGCTGGATCTGTGATTGGGAGTCTCCTGCTGTCCCCATGTTCCTACTCTGCTACAATTACAGCCAATGTTCATAGTCTTATTGCTATTATTATTGCTATCATTATCATTAGTATCAATATCATTGTCATTTTTCATCCAGTCTATGTGTTACTGTGTAGGATGCCTCCCTCCGCTCTCTCTCTCTTGCCCTCTCTATCTCTCACACCCAACCAGCGAGGCAGATGGCCGCCCACTCTGAGCCATGAATCTGCTCGAGGTTTCTGCCTCTTAAAAGGAAGTTCTCCAAGGAGCTGAAAAAGATGGTAAATTACTGAGTCAAAGCAAAAGTGACAAAAGCAGTAATCTAAGTCACAATTTGAGTAGGTACATAAAAGTTAGAATCCCATGATCTGGATTTGACTGTGCAGGTGTGAGTACCTTCAAAGACTGTCGTTTGGTGACGTAGTTCTCGGAGTGAGGAAGCTTTTCATACTCTGTGGACACCTGGCACACATTTGAAAAGCGTGTGAAGCAAAGAATGAGCAATCCTAATCTACACAAAAAACAAAAACAAACTCACTCATAATTGTTCAGCACACATGATTTTGTGTCTTGTGAGAAGATCCTGGAAGAGAACAGAGGAGACAGATTAGCCTTAAACTGCTTCGTTACAATAATGTACAGATGATGCTGTTTTTCTTTTACAGTTTTTTAAAGTGTTAAATGGATTATTTTCTACATCTATGAATGTTTACAAGATGACCATCAAAAACCCATTGGTGGAAAAAGAAGAAAAATTATTTTTTGAGGAAGAAGCGTGAAGTGTTTGTTTCGTTGTTTACATTTGGTGGAGGAAGGGAGGTTATGTGTGCTCAGGGTGAATAATGACATCATCCCACATCATATAGACTTTAACTTGCTGCATTTTTAAACTGAACTCTATAACTTTGAATGTTTTTTCAGTTAGAATTACTAAACTGTTGCCTATTTTTTGCCATTTGATCATTCTAAACTGTGTTTCTTAATGTCGTTAACAGATATCTGACATTTTTATATTTGGTATGACAGAAAATAAACAGCAAGACTTGTGTGTGTACACATGTTTTATCTGACAGTTTCTGTTTCCATCCCCTAAATATTTCCCTGATTTAGAAAATAAAACGTGCCATACTTTTCTTCAAAACTTTGCTTTGGATGGTTACAATGTGTATAGAGCTGAAGGAATTGGCAAAGGAGGTGGTGTAGCTATTTACATCAAATCTAAATTGTGCTCTTCTTTATCACTGGCAATAACTAAACCAAAACAACTTGAATTACTAGCAATTAAAGTGATTCCGACCGTAACGCTTCACTTTACCCTAGTGGGCTGTTATAGACCACCTTCTGCCAAACCAGAAGCACTATCATCCCTCTCAGATGTCTTACATAGTTTCTGTGATACTGAACTTATACTTATGGGTGACCTTAACTGGAACTGGGTTTCTCCAGCCTCAGCTAACGTCAAGAATGTATGTGATAATCTTAATCTTACACAATTTATAGATAGCAAGGTTAAACTCAAAAGATCACAGTAAGTCTTCATTACTGGATGTGATTCTAACCAATAAACCCCATAAGTACACGTCCACAGCGTTTTTTTGCAACGATGTCAGTGATCATTGTGCCATTGCTGTTGTGAGAGATGCTAAACTATCTAGAACCAAATCCCGCTATATTTTCAAAAGGCACTTTAAGAAATTCGATTTTCGATTTTTCCATGATTTATACAACAGTAGTATTGGTCGGGTTAGATTAATACAAGATGTTGAGACTGCCTGGCTATAGTTCCAGAGAACTTTTTTTAAAATTTGCAATAAACATGCTACTATAAAGAAATTTAGAATCTCTGGTAGGGATAATCCCTGGGTCACGGATGAGCTTCTGAATATGATCCGAGAAAGAAATTCTGCTTGGGCCAAAGCAAGATTAACAAATTCCTCCTCAGATTGGACCAAATTTAGAGCTCTAAGAAATAAATGCACACTTCAGACTATTTGAAGCCCATTTCAGAAAACCTTGCCAATCCAACAAAATTCTGGAAGCAGATCAAATCTTTATCAGGTTCACAGACTAAGTTACATCTGCCAGAAAGCATCATAGTAGACTCAGTTGTTATACACGACAAACAGAATATAGTTAAGCAGTTTAATGAACACTTTGTCTCAGCTAGCTCTGGTTCTGTTACCTCTCTTTCTGATCCAGTATCTGTAAACTTAGACGGCACTGATTATCCTCTCTCATCAGCAATTCCTCAATCCAAATTTGTCCTACAAACCATTTCTATTGATGCAACTAAGAAAGCACTTATGACCATAGACAATAAAAAGTCCCCTGGACCTGATGGATTAGACCCTTATCTCCTGAAGTTGGCGGCAGACTTTATTGCAGAGCCTATTGCTCACATTTTTAATCTAAGCATACAATTAAACTGTATTCCAAGAATTTGGAAAGCTGCTTACGTTTTACCTCTACTAAAAGGAGGGGAGCCAACAGATCTGGATAACTATAGATCAATACCAAACCTGTCAGTACTTGCTCAAATTCTTGAATCTCAAGTCAATTCCCAACTAAAACAGTTCCTTACAGTCAACAACCTCCTGTGTGAAACTCAGTGAGGCTTAGAGCAGGTCACAGTACCATAACAGCTACTGTGTCTGTTTTAAATGATATAATAAAGGCCTTAGACAAAAAACATAATTGTGCCGCCCTTTTCGTGGATTTGTCTAAGGCATTTGATTCTGTGAACCACCAACAACTTTTAGCCAGACTCTGCAAGTTTGGAATAAGTGACAAGTGGTGATAAGTGGTTTAAAAACTATCTCTCAGACAGAACACAATGTATCTACGTGGACGGACTTAAATCTGACTTTTTGGAAGTGACTAAGGAAGTTCCTCAAGGTTCAATTTTGGCACCTGCCCTGTTCACTATTTTTATAAATGACATTGGAAATAACGTGAAATCTGTTCAATTTAACCTCTATGCTCATGACACCATAATATATTCAATTGCCTCTTCAGCTAATATTGCCTTGAATGATCTTCAGTCTGCTTTCCCTCAACTTCAAGTCTCCCTACATCAGCTGAAGTTGGTCCTAAATGTAAAAAAGACAAAATTCATGACATTCACTAAAGCTTGCTCCCAAAACTCACAGCATCACGGCATTAAGACCTTAAGTGGAGAAGCAATTGATATTGTGTCCTGTTAAAAGTACTTTACATTTCATCACCAACTCTGCCTTCAGGACTCATCATTGTGACCTGTATGCTCTGGTTTCATGGCCCTCTCTAAGCCTCAGAAGACAACATCATTGGCTTACTTTCATTTACAAGGCCATCCTGGGTAAACTCCCTCCATACCTGTGTCACCTCATGTCTGTAGCTAACAGTGGTTACAACTCACGCTCTTCAAGTCGTGTTCTTTACACTATTCCGAGGGTCAACACAGATCTTGGCAAAACATCATTTTTCTATGTAGCACCATGGTCATGGTGCAATATTCAAAACTCCCTGCAATTACGGACTCTTATTCTGCTACCGCATTTTAAATCACTTTTGAAAACCGCTTGCACAGAGAATTGTAACTGTTACTCTAGAGTCTAGTTTATGATTGATCTTATGTTGTCCTGTGTTCTTATATGTCTTACTGTACTGCTGCCTCTTGGCCACATCTCCTTCGAAAAAGAGATTTTATCTCAAGGGACTTCCTGGTAAAATAAAGGTAAAAAAACAAAACAAAAAAAACAGTCCCCTTTTGTGAAACTGTAATTGTGTTGTCTTGAAACGGTTAACTTTTGACACATTTATATGCAAAAGCTATTTATCCTCATTTCTTCCTTGTCTTGTTATCTAGAGTTGAAATAGTTGAATGATTATTTGAAGGTTTTTCTTGATGCACATTTCTAATTCTGTTTTGAATCATGTTATTCAGTTATCATTCATCCTTGTTGAAATGCTGTAGATAAGATAACTTTTAACCTTAAGATATTAAGATATATATTCAGATAATTCTGATCCATGAGCCGTCCTCTGACAGAAACTCATCTCTGTGACTCCGCCACCATCCAGATGTGATGAGGATAAGAACAAATGTGAGCCAGTAAACTGAAAACTGAATCTTTTGGCTTAGCTAACTCTACTCCCCAACTGAGGGGAGAAACACCCTCATTACTGCTGATGAAGCAAGGAACTCAGCCCTGCCTCCCAAAAAGAAGGACATTCCAACTTTTGCCAGATGAGAAACATGGCCTCAGATTTGGATGGGCTCTCTTTCCCTCAGCTGCCTCTAACTCATCTGAAAATCCCTTCAGTGCGTGCTAAAGATCTTGGGTAAAAGGTCCCAAATTAGATACACTCCTCTCCATGACTACATCTTAGGATCCTCTCCATTAAATAAACAATTACAATAACTCATAAAAAGCAGCCATGGGGGGGGCGCTGCTGAGCTTTCAATGGAGTGACACGTGCGTTTGCGAGCTCCTGCCAATTTCGATTAATATTGTTATTCATCTGCGCTTTTTAGTCACATTTTTGTGTTATTTTTACTTTTCAACACTTTTTGTTAAGAATTGTAACTTTGTATCACGTCAGGATGTCAGGAAAGAATACAAAATCGCGTAATACGATCCAGACGCAGCTGAGGCCTGGTTTACAGACCGCAGCCCCGCCTTCAGGTGAGCCGCCAGGTTCCACCGAAGCGCAGGCTATCCCTGACGCCGCTGCCCTTAAAGTGGAGCTAATGACATCGCTGAAAGAAGACATCGCCGAGATAATAAAAAAGCAGTTGCAGGAGACGCTCGGGGATTCTTTGTCGACTATCCAGCTTGATCTACAAACCGTGAAAACACAGCTCGCGAATAATAAAGCAGCTACTGATGCTACATTAGCCGAGCTCAAGTGCACCGTGGGAACATCTGAATGTTCCGATGACATTGCTGTGATGAAAGCAACAATCAGTAGCCTGACTGCTAACGTTGCCAAGCTCGAAAATAAATGCGAGGATTTAGAATCCAGATCACGGCGTAACAACATTAGGATAGTGGGGGTTCCCGAGGGCCCCGGTACGTGTGACACCGCTGCTGTATCTGCCTTGCTGAAGGAAGCGTTCGCTTTGGAAAAGGAGCCGCTTCTGGATCGGTCACATCGCACCCTTCAACCAAAGCCTCAGCCAAATGAACGACCACGAGCCATTGTGTGTAAATTTCATTACTACAGCGACTGTGTTGACATTTTACGCCGTGCAAGAGAGCTCCGTCAGATTACACTCAAAGGTATGACGCTCTCCGTGTTCCCGGATTACACTGCCAAGGTGGCCCGGGCCCGGGCTGCCTTCAATGAGGTCAGGAAATTACTCCGCGGCATAGATGGTGCTCGTTACGGACTAATCCATCCAGCACGTCTCCGCATTACTTTCAAGGGTGTTGAGAAGGACTTCATCTAAGCGGATGAAGCCAAAGAATACGTCCAAACCTTAATTTCTGGGTGAACATTATTACTTTTATATTGCTTTTGTATGCAATATTCTATTGCTGGACTATTGATAATATTACTGTGGATTAATATTTGCGGGCGGCACGGTGGTGTGGTGGTTAGCACTGTCGCCTGCCAGCAAGAGGGTTCTGGGTTCGAATCCCGGGGGAACCAGGACCTTTCTGGGTGGAGTTTGCATGTTCTCCCTGTGTCTGCGTGGGTTCTCTCCGGGTTCTCCGGCTTCCTCCCACAGTCCAAAAACCTGCATGTTAGGCTGATTGGAGATTGGGGAAATTGCCCTTAGGAGTGAATGTGAGTGTGAGTGGTTGTTTGTCCTTGTATGTCCTGTGTGTTGCCCTGCGATGGACTGGCGGACTGTCCAGGGTGTACCCTGCCTCTCGCCCGTTGACCACTGGGATAGGCTCCAGTTCCCCCCGCGACCCCAACAGGGAATAAGCGGTATTGATAATGGATGGATGGATGGATGGATGGATTAATATTTGTTGGGTCACTGTTACTCTTTGATGTTCAAATACTTATGACCCTTTGTAATTATTTTGATACAAGGCAGAAATATATTTATATTTTTGTCACCCTGGATTATACTTTCGTTTTTTTTTTGTTTTTGTTTTTTCCATAGCGCATGTTCTTGACTAGATGTTAAATTGGCAGGTAGTTGGCAGGGTTTTTTTTTTTAAAACTTTTTTGTTTTTGCTCTGCACCGTCTCTGTGTTGTCTTCACTCTAGCGTGGGCAACCTTTTTTGCTGTGTGAACACTGCTGTCTCCATTTTTCTGTTCTGTGTTTATATGGGGACTTTGGGTGTTTTTATGTTGGGGATGTTTTGGGGGAGGGAGTCCTGTCTCAGCTTAGTAATATTTTTCATGACTTTCTTTTATTCAAATGGTTAACAACAGTTTAGATCCCAGCACAGCTGGATCAGGCACACCTCTTACATTTATTAGTTGGAATATTAGAGGTATGGGCAATCCTGTCAAGAGGTCTAAAGTTTTTACACACTTGAAACGTCTGAAATGTTCTGTAGTGTTCCTACAGGAGACCCATCTTAGAATTAAAGATCACCACAGACTACGCTGCCCTTGGGTGGGGCAAATCTTTCATTCAGATTTTAATTCTAAGGCAAGGGGAGTGGCGATTTTAATTAGTAACAGAGTTCAATTTTCCCCCAGTAATGTTATAGCTGATAAGGATGGTAGATACTTGATAGTTGCTGGTACTCTAATGCAGAGAAAGGTTGTGTTGGTGAATGTATATGCTCCAAACTTTGATGACGCTGAATTTGC